ATCTTTGAGTCAGAGAAAGGAAATTGGATCCAGATCACCAGGAGAGGAGTTCTTGACTTCTGATGGGTTAAAAAACACATTTACCCACCACAGGAAGACAGGATATGGTGAGATAAGGGTGGACTTGGTAGAGCTGGTGGTGATAAGGTAGATAGGTCACTTCCATTTTCTCAGTGATTAATGACTAAGATTAAGTGAATGGGTATTAGGGGGTTTGAAAAGAGTGGAAAAGATGAGTGAAATTATTTCAGTGTTGTCACTAAGCATGTCAGTAGTGAATTGTTGCAGGCATTATATAAAACTTTGAAACTTTGAAATGTGGGTTTCATTATCTTAACTGGATCACATGCAGGAATGAAAAGAAGATGCACAGAGGCCTCTGTGCAGAAGACAAAGAGAATGGGTAGTGTCAAACTTCTGGAGAATTTTTACCATCTTTCTTTCCAGAACTCCTTGTCCACTTTTCAAAAGAGTTTATTAGTAGTATTAATATTAGTATTATTTTATTATTATTCAAAATCTGTAACCTAATCCCACCTTTTAGAACTACTCAGTTTCCTAAGGTAAAAAGTTGTCCCCTGGCAGATGCTTAATTACTTCATTGAAAGGTGAAATCATTACTCATGAGCTCCATGCATTGCTGTTATTACCATGTTAAATTTAGCCTTTGATATTTTCTTACCATAATTTTAGCCTCTTGTGAGATAAATGAGCAGAAATGCTGACTGCAATAATATGGGATCATCAAATTTCTACATCTAGAAAAGACCTTAGAAAGGATGCAAGTTATCTCCTTTGCCAAAGAAGAAATAAGCCTAGAGGGTGAAATTACTTACCCAACATCAGCTCATTTCACTGCAGTACTAGGAGTAGAAGGAGGCTTCTCCATTCCAGTCCTCTGTATTTTCTCATCATTTAGCACTTAGTTTAGGTTAAATGATTTATTTGTTTGAAATTGTAACATCTTTATAAATGCACATTTCCTTTTCTGTATTTTGGACTCTTAATGATTAGTGGACCTCTCCCAGTTTTCCAGAACATTAGCATCAGACATGTTCCTTTAAAAAACTTGATCACCACCAAATTTTTAAATAAGAATTGCTGTATTGGGAATTCATCTGCACTGTGAGGGAAATGTACTACTTCAAAGTAGTAAAGTGATCATCATATTCAGATGAGATAATAGACTTAACTAGATTTTCTTTAAAGGAAAATGTTAAAGGAAACAAAGGAAAGATTGGAAATCGTTTTGAGTGTGTTTGTGATAGGTAAATATAGTTGTCAAATAGCAAGAATCCATATAGATCTGTATTGTCCCTTAAGTTCACATGGGAATGTCTTATATCTCCATTTGATTATCAGAGATTTAAGGTTGCATCTGAATTAGCATTAGCATAAAGTCTGAATCTAATGTGGGATTAAGTGGAGGAGAAATTTTAAAAATAGATACTGAAAGAAATTTATATAAAATAATTTCTATTGTTTAAAACAATAAATTGCAGGATGAAATCTTAACATCTGCTTTTATTATTGTAGACAGTTTGATCTTAGTGCTAAGCATCATAAAAGAAGATTTACCAAAGCAAAACATATAGTTTGAATATATTCAACAGAGCAATAGCCAATATAGTTATGTGATTTAGGAAGAGGTGCTATCCTGTTAAACCAAAATATCATATTATTCACTTCATAAATAATAGAAAGAAATTTGTTTTATGAATGTACATAGCAGTCACAGTACATTTTTCAAGGAAATTGACATAGATTTCCCCTATTCATTAATTTCCATTACCGCCCATTCATTTCTACCCACTGGCAGCAATCTATGCGTGTAGCATTTGACTCACATTTTCTATTAACTGATGTTTAGCAAATCCCACTCTCAGTCTTATCAAATGACAGCACTACATTTTTGGCAATCATATTAAAATAGAATTTCTAGTTGGGAAGAAGTAACCTAATAGGTAGCACAAAATGCATTTCTCATGTAATGCCCGTTAAGGGCATTTGGAGGAGAGTTGGAAGATTGTGCTCTTTTCTAGAGAAGATGTAACCTTTTCTTCATCATACCTAATAAATACCCGAGAGAAAAAGTAATAAGGCCCTCTATTATTGTCAGGGGAAGACTAAAGTAACAGACTTAGATCTACAGGCTGCAGTAATGCTATTAATTGTAGATGTTATTAGTTTTTAATTTTTTTTAAATCTCTTTTGGGACTGAGCGAAAAGCTGCAGTGGCGCCATGTAGAAGATTTAACTGGCTTATAGTCTGCTCTGTTAAGATTTTTGAGCACCTAACATTTTATAACAGCAAAGGATCATACATGTATGTTACTCTCTTCCATATGAGTAAGGTGCATAAGTGCTTTAGAGATTCATGAAATTGAAATGCAATTTAATTTTGAAAAAAAAATTAGAAAAAAATAACTAGGCTAAAGAATCTTTTTAAAAAATTAGATGAGGTTGGTTTTTCATTGGTATAAGGAAAAAGAATATGAAAAAGCTGATAACACTATCATTTATTTTGCATTTTGCATGTCTCCATTTTATTCTTGGTAGAATATGTAATTTTAAAGAATTGAAAGATAAAATTCTATAGGAAAGAAGACAATATGATACAGAAAAGTAGTGGCAGGTCTTTCCCAGGCCTCCTATGAAAAGTTCCAATTGAATATATAAAACTAAAACTTCTTAGTATTTGTGTACATGGCCTGAAATTAGTATAATTAGTAAGGTCCACTTTTAAGTAAAAATTGCATTCTTAAATACAACTTGAAGGTTTTTCTTAAAAAATTATGATTTTTTATTTATTTCCCTTGGCTATATTAGTGTAGTCATTTGTCTGTAAAATTTATTAAGCTCTGTTAATTTTTTTGGCCAGCAGTGAAAGCCATGGATTTTATCTGATATGGCATCAAAAAGCCCATAAAGGATTTCACAAATTGTATAAAATCTTAGAGAAAGCAAAATTTAAACTATGGAAGCAAAAAATAATGTAATCTGGGCCATTACATAATCATTCTAAGCCATTTTTGAAATATTTAAGTTTTAATAATATAAGTCAATTAAAAACATTAGTTTGAACTTTTATCATTATTTTTTAAAAAAAACTAGAAGTGAATAGCTATTAGGCAAAAGGTTCCCAAAGAATTTTCTCTGCCAAGTTTGAAAACAGAGACCTGTATAAATGATCAGTAAACATCATGACCTCTATTTTGATAATGCATTACTTTTCTAAGTATTCACATAACTAAATATTTTCCTTTCATGTAGTCTCAATAACTGTACTGTCTTTTGGTGAGATAAAAGCTTGTGTTTAAGAGCTTGAAATCTCCTAAAGACAAAAATGATTTCAATCAGTTTTATACACACACACACACATGTATGCATCTTACATTTACACATACAAATATACACATATATTGTACATACTCATATATATGTATATATGTATGTGTATATGTGTGGTTATAATAAATTATGCTTCTATGTTAAGATGTTTCATAATTTTTTGAGAGAATAGAATGGCCATGAAAGTCATAAAATTCTTCTTTCCCTTAACTGACTTTACCACAATAGATTTTTATCTCAATTGCTTAATGAAAAGTACATATAACTAAGGTGTACTCAGCTCTTAGAAGTGAAATTTTAAACTGGAAAATTGTATGTTTATTATTTCTTTCTTATCTTTAAATGCAGTTACTTGGGCTTAGCAAAAACTCCAGAATAGGTTGCATATTTTCTATATTTAACTCACTTAAGTTAAATAGAATATTGAGCTCTCAGAGTCACATCAGTAGGAACTGTTCTCTTAAATGAATTAATGGAAGTTGGAATATGACTAGTTTTAATACCTGATTATATAACAATATTATTATATGAGAATTACCTAAAGGTAAAAGTTCACCTGAAATAAAGTACTTATGAACATCTGCCACTTGATAATCTCTAAAGACAATTGGATCTAAATGAAAACTTGTCAAATTCATGTAAAATAAATGGTATCTAACTAGGTTTTTCGAAACAATTTCATGGTGTCTTCGTTTACAAATGCAAAATCCATTTGAAGACAAAGTGACTGATCACAATTATTTGATATATTTGGATATTTGTAAATCTGATTTTCATGAAAAGGGACACATTTGAGGGAAAGGAAAGAGTTTTATCTTTTAACTCAAAAGGCAGATTAATTTTTGTGTTCTGCATTCAGGGAGAGAGGGGACAGAATGCAGATTTTCTATGCTATAGCATACTCATAAAAAGCACTGGGGACTGACTGTATTATTGATGTAGTTGTCACCTGTCACCTATGGATTCATTTTAAAGGTGGTCTCAGCTTTGCCATTGCTTAAAATAAAATACTGCTTGACTCTTACTCCAAACATGGGACTTGGAATGGCAGAAAATGTGAGATGGGATTTGTAACATAAAGGTCTTCTTTTGTTTGGTCTGAACATTGTACTGACCAGTTAATTTTAAATGTATCAGTAGTTTAAGTGACAAGGATTTTGTAATGATTTCTGACTAAATACCATAACAAGATCTTAATATTTCATTCCCCATTTTTCTGCATAGCAGGCAAAAATTGAAATGTTGATTATCATATTGCTCTTTTTTTTCATCAAGAAAAGGTAATGACATATATTTGGTCTAGAATTATTTGAGCTCAAATTAAATTGGAATGATGCCTGGTGCAGAGATACCGTAATTCAGTAAACAAATATTTATTGTTGACTATTTTCAAGGCATTATGTATGGTGAATAGAAAGAGACCCTTGCTTTCAAAGCTATTCAATAAATAGAAGAACCTCATTTATTCAAACATATAATATTTTCTTATATCAATAAATATAATAAAATATTTATTACATTTTATATAAATCTATAAGTTTTATAATTCTTCATTAGCATATTAGAGGTGTCTGCCTAAATCTAAGACCCCTATCAGTTAGTCTCTTTGCTACTTTATATATTTGGGGGGAAAAATCACAATATCCTACCTTCTTAACCATGCATGTGAATGGCTGTGTGTCCCCTACTCAGGCAGGCTGGCAACATTTCCATTAATAATAATCACTGAAGAATTTCCCATGTCGTATGTTTGTGCACACATAGTTCAAACTTCTATACCTGTAAGATGAATTCATCAATTAGGGAAAGTCATAAAGATGTTGGAAGAAAGATAGTAAGGGGGAAGTACTGTGTAATAAAGATGCATTAGAGGAATTGTAAAATACCTTTCTTCCTATTTTTTCAATTCACTACAGGAAAGGAGGGAGGAAGGAAGGAAGGGAGACAGGGAGGAAGGGAGGGAGGGTGGGAGGGAGGGAGGAAGGAATATAGTCCATTGTTTTCTTTAATATCAGAACAATCTTTATGGACACCAGTATCCAAGCAGGTGTTGTGGTGAAGTAAATATTTCCAAATTAATGAGATGATTCCTAGTCAGACTGAAGAACAACAAAAGAATTCTGCTCTTGCAGCATATGCTGCAGCCAGCTGAGTGCACAGGTGACATCACACTCATGCACCATTGCTGTGAGGGGAATTTAAATTTTTCCTTAGGAAAAAAAAAATCTGTTGTGTAGTAACTATTCATATAACCCACTTTAGAGAGGCATTGTGTAATTCCAGATAACAGGATTAATCATTTTTGTACCTTCCTGATAATCTTGGCTGTGTTTTCCCTCCTCTCGTGCCTTCTGTAGGGACAGAACACATTCGGTACTGCTGGTTGGCTGATAGTAAACAAAACCTTAGGAAGGCTTCACCTGTGGTTTGGAGAGCTGAAATCGTTTGGAGGCATAAGCAACGTACTAACTGATATACTTGATTGCTTGGTGAGGCTTAAGCTGTTCTTACAATTAACATTCATGAAAACTTGAAAAAACTGAAGACACTACAGTAGAGATATAATGTCTGTGGCAAAACTAATAGTTAAGTGACCAGACAGCAGACATAAGCAGTGAGATCAGATTGTGAACCTTGCAGTGGAGGTCCCATCTTAAACACAATTACCTTAGGGAATAAAAGAAGGCAAGCACTGAGCATTTTTGGTTTTGTAGATATAGAGAGAAGACATAAACTTAAAAGCTGTGATGTGTGGAGACCACATTTAAATTTTCATGCACACTAGAGTTCTTCATCACTGGGTTTTAAAGCACTAGTATAGAGTTCACCTAGCAACTACTGAAAAAGAAACAGTGACCTCAGGGGAGAGTCAGGAAGATAATGAGAATTTTAATTGGAAGGCATATATGAAAAATGGTGATAGAGGGAATTAAGCTGAAGGAAGATGGGCCTTTTGCTAATATCAAGTACAGGAACATCCCAGTTGTGGAATGTAACAGAGTTATAGGATATATCTGTATGCCATTTGTTATTTTATGTGTGCAAAACTCTCAGTGTAAATGAGGATTAGAATATGTTGTTAACTTGGGAAATGATCAATAGTATCAGCATCACTTCATATGTTAAAAAGGTACTCTAAGGACAAATGCCAGTTTGTTCTACAAATCCTTTAGATTTCTTATGTTGCTTTTAGTTTTTTATTTAATTTTTATTTTTTATAAACCAGCAAGCCTACTCTAGAAATTGTCTTCAATTGTCATTAATAGCTAATGGAACACCTTGTAGATTCTCAAATGTAACAGATGGCATATATAAGAATATGCTCTGTTCCCCTTGAAGATATGTTTGTCTCTGTGCATATACAATGATCTTTTTTTTTCAAGGAAAAAAAATATCTCCCTTTGTTGACTGATTCAGCACCACAAATGCTCAGAGTATGGATTACCATTTTTGGCCATTTATCCACAAGTAGACAACAACTCCAGTGACTGAATCATTGGCCAAAATATGTGCTCTGATTGAGTATATTACACAGATTGTCTGCAAATATTATAGCTGAATCCAAATAGATTATATCCTTTCTCTTTATTTTCCAAGAACTTAAATATTCCCTATGGCTTTGTGTACATAAAAGTGTTTGTTTTCTCTTAACATCTCTTTTCTTTGAAACCAATAGCCATATGAATTAGATCAACAGCTATGCCCTTGAACAATATAGAAGAGTTATTTAAAACCAATGACTAGTCTCTCTTATATATAACTGCTGTTCTTTGTAGTGGTCCTAGTGTTTATTCTTAAAGTGTTGCCTGGGAACCAGAAGCATTATGTACCTGAGATTTTGTTAGAAATGCAGGATCTTAGGTCCAATCTACTTCTGTGGAAATGATTTACATTTAATAAGATATCTCAGTAATTTAGGTACATATTAGTTTGAGAAGCTATGGACTAGATAACTAGCCAGAATCAAGAGTAAAAGTTTTTTTTAAAGGTTTTTTTAAACAATTACCAATGAAAGCAATTTAAATATAAATATTTATTTTCCTTATTAAATAAATTGACAAATTTAAGTTCACTGAGAATTCTCAAACCACACTCAGAGACTGTAATAACCATGGTCCATTTCAGTTCATTTTATTCATTTGAGCTACTATATGGGTTAGGCATATTTTGGACAACATAATAAGGTCCAGTGTCTTTTCAGAATAAACCTAGGTGTCACATTAGGGTAGAACTCTAATTTCTTGGTCTGCCTGCAACTGCAGAATGTCCAGGATAGAAATTTTAAAAAACACATTTTTCTTCAATTTTAACTGAGTTAAAAAGGAAAAAAATGTTGTATTTCTGAGACTAAGATGGAATATTCCAAATATAATTCTCAAAACAGTCACCCCTCTGTCAGTTTAAGAGACTAAAAGAACTTTAGCCCTGATTTTTAAAGCACCTGATGCAAGAAGTGAAACCAAGTTATTGATGTATCTTTACTGCAGAGTAAATAGTATACTTTTTTAGAAATTGTATAGACTATATAGTAGGTATGGTATAAAAGCCGTAACAATCTTCTAATAGAGGCCCAGATGCAAAGTATAAATATCCTCAGGTCTCTGTCCTGGCACCAAGATTCTCTGAGTTCAGGTCTCAGAAGCTACAGTTTAATAAAATAAAAATAAAAATGAATAAAGTCTTGAAATTCAGAGATTTGTGTGGTCCTTCCATGGATGCCATATATACTTCCTTCAGTCCAGATGTGTCCTTTCGTGTAGAAACTTCACTAACTTGGTGCTCTTCAGATGAAAGTACTTCATCTGAAATTCTTTTTTAAGGGTCAGTTATTTTGTTCAAAACAAGACTGCAAGTTTCATATTGTTTATATCCCAGTACATTCTGATTGTATTTATCCAGAGGAGATAGCTACTTTAGAAAGGTCAGATTGCTAATTAGAAAAGAAAGAGAGGAAGGAAGGAAGGGGAGAGGGAGAGAAATGGGATCAGGGAGGAAGGGAATAAGCTTGGGAAAAGAATCTTTAAGCTCTTTAAGAGCTTCTCTCTCCATCTGATGTGAAAAATCAGTGCCTTATAGGAGGGAAGATCTGGTGTTCTCTTTCAGGTTAATCTTTTTATGGTAACAATTACCAAATGCTTATTGTTTATTTTCTCATCTGTGACATAAGGGATCTAACATTGATTGTATCCATTAGGATTTTTCAATGTGAGTCCTTTTCTTTTTCCTGAGAATGACGAAAGTTTTGTTAATATTCAAATCTAATCGCAAAAGGAATTTGTTGCAACAAGAGAAAAAGCAGACTGACACACACACAAAAAAATATATATATATAGGGAATAGGATAGAAAGTAGCTGCTTTAGGGTTTTTTGTTTGTTTGTTTTTGTTTTATGCTTTCGCATTTGGAGAATTTTACCTGTAAGAAATGTTCTAGAAGTGGTCCAGGACTTGAAATAATTTAAAAAAAAGTTCTATGTAACCAGCTGTGTCATTTGGGGCAAGTCATCCAATTTCTCCAGGCTTCATTTTCATTTGCCAAAATTGGAATGTTAGCATGAGATATAAGGTGATATTAATTCATTTTAAATTCCATGTTGTTGAAAATAATCATGATTTATGTGAGAAGATCAGTGATGTGCATATGTGTGTGAACACATATGTGACTTTAAGTTGACATACTCACTGTTAAATTCATTTTTAAAGTGAAGAATTCAGTGGTTAGCATATTCTCACAATTGTGCAGTTGTCAATGCTGTCTAATTTCAGAGCATTTTCATTGTTCAAAAAACCCATACTAATTAGCAGCTGCTCCCTTTCTTCCATACCTCTAGCCACTGGTAACCACTGGTTTACTTTCTGACTATGGATTTGCTTATTCAGGACATTTAATATATACAATATGTGGCCTTTGTGTCTGGCCTTGTTCACTTAACATATTGTTTTAATGTTGTAGCATCTGTTAGTGCTTTATTTTTTGTAGCTGAATAATATCTGCCTGTATGAATGGACCATATTTTGTTCATCCATTAATCAGTTGACGTATATTTGGGTTGTTTCCACATTGTGGCTTTTATGAATAAAGCTGCTATAAACATTCATGGACAAGTTTTGTGTAAACATGTGTTTTTAATTATCTTGAGTACATGCTTAAGAATGAAAGTGGAATTGCTGGGTCAAACATAACTCTATACTTAAGATTTTGAGAACCTGCCAGAATATTTTACAAAGCTGCTCTACCATTGTACATTCTAATCAGCAACTTATGAGAGCTCCAATTTCTCCACATTATCACCAATACTTGTTGTCTGTCTTTCATATCAAAGCTAGGCAATTTAAATAAAACTACTCATATCACTCATATAGATGCAAAAATTATAAATAAAATGTTCACAGATATGATCCAGCAATATATTAAAATTATATTACATCACAACTAACTAGAATTTAGAATGCAATGTCCATTTAACATTTGGAAATAAATCACTGCAATTCACCATGTTAGTAAACTACAAAAGAAAAAACACAAGACATATGGAACTATATGATCATCTCATTAGATGTAAAAAAAGAAAGCATTTGACAAAATATAATGCATTCCTGATTTAAGTGAACAAAGAAACAAACCAAAAGCAAATAAATAAAAACCATAGTGAACTAGGAATAGAAAGAATCTTCTTCAACCTGATAGAACTTTTATGGAAAATCTACAGCTGAGATTATACTTGATGAAAGACTGAATGCTTTTTCCTTAAGATCAGGAACAAGACAAGGAT